AGCAAAACAAAACAGAAGCTGCCTTCACCAAGGCAAGAGCTCTGCTTGCTTCATTTGGGAAGTTGACGATTGTGGCTCTTAACTGTCTCTTAATTGGATGCTTGTACTTAACGTGATGTTTAAAAGGAAGGGTGATTTTTGTTTTGTTTTTTTTTTTGCAGGGGAGCCCTGAAATTTATGGATGGTGTTTGTCTCAGAAACTACTTCACACTAGCCTTGCTTTTGAGGTGTGCTGGGTTATCCATCCATGAAACTTATTTAAAGCTCCTAAACCTGAGTGTTTTCCTGCATCTTTGTGCTTCATTAACAACGTATTCATTTCAATACTGAGCACATTCATGATTTTTTTTTTTTTGGCAGCCAAGTTTCACATTTATTTTTTTATTTTATTTTTTTTAATTTTATTGAGTTTATTGGTACATTTTAGCGATACAGTACAGTTACATTCATTGTTGGGATCACGTACCTTTACATGGCAAGTCTTGATTCTCATTTTTTCCCCTTACCTCTGCCCTCCCTTCACCCCCTCTTCCCCTCCCCATCTACAAACACTTTATTTTCATCTTTTCATTCTCTCACATTTTTTTCTTTTCCCTTTTTGTTCTTCCCCTACGCATCACACCTTCCCTACACCTTTAGCTCCTTTCTTCAAATTTCTAAATGTCAGTAATCTTATTAGAATCTTATGCATTGTTGCAGAATATTCACACCAGGGAAACTATTTGGTGTTTACACATGTGTGACTTATTTATTTCACTTAGGAGTATATCTTCAATATGTATCCATTTTCCTATGAATGAATCTATTCTCTCGCTCTCTATGGCTGAGTAATATTCCATTTTATAGAAAAACCACAACTTCTTTATCCAGTTTCCAACGGATGGGCAAATAGGTTGTTTCCAAGATTTAGCAATTACAAACTGTGCCGCTATAAACATGATTTTTTACTAACTACCTTTTTAAATAATGGAGTTGTAAGTAGTTAAATAGTGGAGTTGCAAATTTTTTAGTATCTACTGTGGGCCAAAATGTGTGGTAGATGTTGCCCATATCTTTGGTTGAATGTTTTCTTGGGTTCAATTTGGACAGAATATTTATATTTATGAACACACAAATTTAACATATTGCAGAAGGAAAACACAGTTTCCCTACCTTATAAGTCTATGGCTTGATTACTGATCAACGTGTAGCACTGGTTTTTAACTTTCTTGCATCACACACCCAAGGCATCGTGCTGCCGATGTGTGGGTGCACTCACGTACAGCCCACCCTTTGGGTGCCTTTCCTGTGGGGGTGGGATAGGAAAGTTTTGAGCATGTGAGCTAATAATACAACAATCTTTCAAGACAGAAAGAGAAATGTGAGCTGGTAACTCTTAGGTATTCTGTACAAGAGAGAGATGGAGACAGCCTGGCTTTTCTGGGACTGCAAAAGGAACCAGTGTTATGTTTGTTTCAGTTTTTGACTCTGCAGTGCTAAATAAACACTTTCAAAACTGGCATTTTCTTAAGATAAAAGCATAGCTCCTGAAGTGTCACTTTTCACTCACCATACACAATTTCAGAGTTTTCTAAAGCTGACTTACACTGTTGCTTGAAGGCTTTTAATAGGTCATTTTGATATCAGGACACATGTTACCAAAGGCTGCCTTTCAAGTTTGTGGAAATAAACATAAACACACACACACACACACACACACACACACACACACACACTAAAGACAATTGAGTCTGAGATATCTGAATTGTAGTCTTACCCAATTTAAAGCTTTAAAAATTTATCATCCCTTTGGTAGGGGAATAAGATTGGCTAGAGGGATTTCTACTTTGTAACATTTTCATTGTTCTGCATTATTTATGACTTGTATTATGAGAACTATTGTAATATTTCTGTTATACACCACTGAATTTGTATTTAGTGAATTAAATTTACATTTAATCAATTTATATTAAAATGACTCAATGAGATGCTTCACCATTCTTTGTAAAAAGCAGGCCAAGGCCAAATGAAAGACTCAGGGATAGCAGTTCAGAATTCGGTGCTCATTTTCTGCACAACTTTTATCTTCATGATGATTAATGGTTTAAGAAAATCAGTTTATAGCATTTCCTGTAACTATTTCTTATAATTCTCTAAAGTCAGATGTTTCCTGTTAATAAATTGGCAAACTTTTCTTTCTCACAAATATAGGAGGAATTGTCACATTCTTTACTTTTTAAAGTGGAGCACGATTGCATCCAACTATCAGAGTAGAAGGCAAAGAATCAGCAATGGGAGTAGTCACTCTGAAGATAATGAGTGTTGAAACTTTGAGTTTGTGGAAAATAGTTGATGAGTATGTCGAATGATAATAATATTAATAATAAATACAATAAATATATTCATTCTCGCATATCCAACGTGTGGAAGTGGAGTACACGATGAGGAGAAAGGGCTTGGATTGTGTAGGCCCGCAGGGCCTTGTACTTCTGCCTCAGCGCTGGTCTTCAGGCCTCCCTGCCTTGCCGGAAGCTCCATCCAGGCGCATTTCCGGGAGGAACTCCTGGGACTGAGGAGGCCCCTCCCGCCTTCCCTCTCTTCTCAGCTCTGCTCTTTCCGGACACCTCTGACTTTCTCCCTCCTCCCCGCAAATCCTTTCGCCTCTGGGATCCCCAGGACCCAGGGCTCCCCAGGGTCCCACCCCGCAGCTCTGCTCGGGTCCCAGGCAGGCCCTGCAGAGGGCCCTGGGCCACATGAGCTCCTGCGGCCAGCAGGTGACTTCTGCCTCCTTCATGAGCCTTCTGCTCCTGCCCTCGCCCCAGACCACCCGCCTCCACTCCCCCGCCCCCAAGCTGCCTCTTCAGTGTCCTCTAAGCCAGATTTCCATAGCAAATCTCTGCTTTTGTTTTGGGTTTTGTTTTGTTTTGGTTTTTAGGCCCACAGCTCCTTCTGAGCCTTGCATTGATCCTTTCTTCACATCCCCACTTGCCTGTCTCACACACTCTAAATTTCAGCCTCAGGTGAACTCTGCATTTCTTACCAGGGATCCATCATCCCTGCCCAGCCTGGCCCTGCACGCACCTGAGGCCCATATCATATGCCCTGCACACCAGCAGGATCAGCTGAACCTCATCCGGGTGGGGGAACCCACCACCGGGGCCCAATCCCTTCCCCTGAGCATCTCCACAATCATCAAAGCCACTCAGTACTTGCAGCCCGGCCACTGCATTCACGCCCAAGTTCTCTCTCCTTGAAACTTTGCTCAGCTTAGAACTCTTTCCCAGTGGGCAGCTAGGGTGAAGGTAGGATTCTAGGTGGGATCGACCTGCCTTTGGCACACAACCTTCTGGAATGGGTTTATATTTTTTTTTCCCTAGACAGAGCATGAAACCCCACCTCTTCAGCATTTCCCCCAGAGCACACGTGAAAAAGCCCCACCTCGCTCTGACTGGTGTTGTCGCTCCTAGGTATGTGACAGGGTCTCACTGTCATCCACTTTATTCCCTGCAAAGCTGCCCTTTCCTGTACGTGGCCTGTGCACTTGTCCTGTTTACCTGTGTCACTCTTTTCCTGTTCTTTAGTAACCATTGCTCGGGGCTCATGGGAAGTATCATTTCCCGGGGAACCCCTCAAATTGAGCAGCGCACCCTGGAAACCCTTTGAAACACCTTCTGTCAGAGCGCTGTGATGGGCTTTCCAAGGCTGAGCATAACCAGTCGGGCTGCACTGATGGGCAACAGTGTGCTCCCTGGAAACACAGCCTTGTGCGTGGCATGTGAGCTGAAGGACTCCTTGTCCCTGCTATGCTGTTCAACCTCTCTCAGCCTAGGATTCCTCTGGGCTCTGATGCGGGTAACGAGCATGCCTGTCTTGTACGGAATCTGCAAAGAGGAAAGGATTGCTATTTCAGAGTTTGTATTACACTTAGCCTACAGTGTGAGAGTGCGTGGGGAAGCCATCCACTTACCGTGCGGAACACAATGTTTTCATTTGCTTGGATTCTTGGCCCCTGGAGAATATTTGCTTCATGGTCTGATGAACTTTGCTGTGTACTTTTAAGGAAACTTGGTGATATTCAGAGGAAAGAGAAGGTGGTGCTCCCTAGTGATGGGCAGTCACGTGGAAGCCACCCACTGAAATCTGAATTACAATTTATGGACCGGAAAATATCCTTCCACATTTTCCCAGCCTGGCACCTGCCTTCCAACAGCCGTGTTTTCTGTCATTCTCCTTTTGTCTGTGTGGTGGTCTGGGCCTCAGAAGTCTGGGGAAAGGACTCAAATTACAGAATTAACAAAGGATGGGATGACTCTACATCATGTTACATCACTCGTACTTTTCATGTCCTTGTGGAAATACCCACCCCACTTTAGGGAATTTTGGAGTGGGACAGGTGTCCTTAGAGTTCGTTCTCTCCTCTCATAACCTTGTAGTAATGACCTGCTGGCCTTCACCTGGTTTCCAAGATTTCCATGTCCTTCCTATAACGTGTGCGGTGACATTTCAAGATGACCCATTACTTTTGACTCTCTCAGAATAATTCCTGGTTTTAGCCCCATGAAATGATTACCATTATGTTTCAAAATTGCTAAACATCTATTCTCGACAATCAAGGGCCTTTCTTCCCTGGTAAGCTTTCCCGAGGAGGGAAGTGATTAACATGGTTGCCTGCTCCCTGCATCTCGGATCACTTCCAGACCTGGATTCTATTCTGTTGTCTTTAATTCTTTTGGGGCAGAGTTATACATTCACCACACTGGAGACCTGCAAGTGGTCTCATGTGACTCAAATCCCAAATTCACAGGGAAACCACGATGTGGGAAGTGACCAGCTTGCCTTGACAGGAGGAATAGAGGCTGCGATGCAGCTGCCCTTAGGTCCTCTGTGTATTTCGGGTGCACCAGACACTTTGCAAGAGGAAGCAGCGTCATGGGCTTGCGCTGCCTAAAACACTAATCCAAGCAGACTGAACAGTTGATTTCAGTGAGTTCTTACATGTTTTCTTTTTCTATCATCTGCAGTTTAACAGCAATGCTCAGGATGTAAGCTGCTTTCAGCACCTGGTCCAAGCAAATGTAAGAAATAAGAAAGTGCTGAAAGATGCAGTGAATAACATCACAGCGAAAGGAATAACAGATTACAAGAAAGGCTTCAGTTTTGCTTTCGAACAGTTGCTCAATGTAAGTATCACTATCACAAGTATCACTATCACGTCTCTCTTGTTTATTATTGAATCATGGTGTCATATTTCCATATCCTAATAGTTACTCCTCTCTTGGGGTTCAATAACCACACTGTTTTTAACTTATTTAGAAACAGTTACACCAGGTGGACATAGGCAGTAAACATCTTTGAACTCTATATTTAAATCTAAACTTCAAGAAGAATGTACAGTAGGTATTTTCTTTCAGACCTTTCATTCCCACATTTTCTCCAGATTCTCATTGAGAACCTCATGTGTAAGTTAATGATCTCATTTCCTTTTGAATAAGTACACGCAAATTAGTTGGCCTGTTTAAATGTCTTGCTGTCTCCTCACCTCCATCTCTTCAGTCCTTACCTGGGCACTTGTACTTTCAGTCATCACTCGGGGATTAGGAACATTTTCATTTCAAATGGCAAGTTTGTATCTTTAAGACTGTGCTTCGTATATGAACACAGCCAAGTCCCGGAGCAGGAAGCCCTTCTCAGCCAGGGCTGCCCCAGCTCACCCGTGCCAACTTCCACTTTCACTGCCCACCCGCCCGGCCTGTTGCCTGCCCCAGGCTCCCCTGTGTTTCTCCTGCTGAGGACTGGTGTTTCCACACAGCCCTGTCCTCTGTTTCGTCTTTAACTACTCAAGAGCAAGAGCCATGACTGAATCTCCTGTCTCTCGTGAGGCACTGGTAATGACAGCGTGGAGATGGGGCTTTCCCGTACCTTGGCTTTCTCCTGTCCCTGTGGGGCCAGGAGGGCATGGACCTCAGAGTGGTGCTTGGGACTGGACATAGAAGCTCCCGCACAGGCAGCCACACGCAGATGCTGAGTGGCAGGTTCCTAATGGACTCAGGATCTATACTGATGTAGCAGAGCACTAGGCACCACTGTTGCAGAGGGAGCCTACCCTGTAATTCCTGCCCTGTCTGCTGTGTCACTGAATAAATGAACCTTTATATTGGGTCCTCACTGAAAAATCCCATTCTGTTGGTCCTGAGTGACTATTCTACACCGTTTGCATCACGCATTCCTTAACAGCCAGTATTTAGAGCGCACCCCCTATTTTCTTGCTGTGCTAGAGCTAGAATTAGAGAAAGAAACGAGACCATCTGTGCTCAGGAAGGCCCAGCATCACACCGCATGTGACTGCCATCCCAGTACAACTCAGAGTGTTTACTGGGTTAGAGTAGTGTTTCCTGGGTCAGAGCGTTTGCTGACACAGCACAGAGTACAGGCTCAACTGACAGGGAACAAATCTGAGAAGTCGGAATTACTGAGCATCTACAAAGTTGCAATGCGTTAACCTGGCTGAGAGGGAAGCCAGCAGGGGCAAGGACAGAGTGGAAGACTATGTGGAATCAGTGCGGGCCGAGAGGTGGCCAGGGACACAGGCAGGGCTAGGGTACACGCAGCTCAGTTTCAGGGGTGTTGGGTTTGAGGTCTTGCTATTCAACCGACACCATTCAACAAGCCAGGAAGAGGACAGAAAAACAGACATTCAGTGGGGCTGTCTCCAGGGGGATGACCACTGATGAATGTGCTTGCTCAGTGTTAGTAGCTCAGTAACAAAAGGTGACAGAGCAAAATTTCAGAATTCAAATTTCAGTAACCCTGAGGTTGAGATGTCTTTGCCCTTGATTAAAGGAATACAAACTTTAATTTTTAACAAGAGTTTTTCTTGCGTTGTAGCAGACCTTCCTGCACCTTGGCACCGATGATTCTCAGTGTTGTTACTGACCTCACCTCCTTTGCTCCTGCTCAGGGCACAGGGATTCCATGGCCAGGGGTCCCCAGTCTAGACTGTGGCCTCCGGGGCTGACCCACCCGTGGGGACACAGCAAGCCCAAGTTCCTTGCCAGTAGCTGACAAGACTTAACTCCCCTTGGCCACTCTGCCCTCTTCTCCACCGTTGTGAGTGACTTTACGTGTTCTCCGTTACTCACTAGGGCTCCATGTTCTGCTTTCTCCCCATCCCGTCAGATTTGACATCTTTTATTTAAGAATTTCCCCAAATACCGTGGCTTGCCTTACATGGAGTGGAGGCCACTTTGCCACTTCTTTCGAATGCTTCGACTCTTATTACCATACCGTTCCCTTCTCTGGTTCATGCCTGTCCTTGCATGATTGCCTTTGAAGTCACGGAAGCAAGTGTCAGATAGGATCAGGCATGAAGTCCCATGGTAACCTGTGAGTGAAGCGTCACATCTGTATTCAGGTAGAATTCCATGAAATGTTACCAGGTACATTGAGATGCAATTGCAAAGCAGTCTGTGTTGTGTGCAGGCTTTATAGATCCTGCGCCGTGCTCTGGCCACACAGGATACAGCAGACAGACAGGTGTGTTCCCAGATGCCACGCTACAATAAATACCAGCTCGGCTAATTCTAAGTTTATGGATGCAATCAATTTTTTGTCTCTCTCAGTGTGTTACAAGCCAGCTACGGTGATTGTTGTGACTGTGTGTTTCTTCACATAATTGCAAACCCATGGAAAACTTGCTGTGCTGTTGTTGCTCCACCACCAACCCCTGAAATGCCTACTTCTGGGGAAAACAACTCTGAAAACAAAATAGTTCTGAAATTTTCTTCTTAGGTGCATGCTCCAAGATCTGTTTTTCTTAGGAAAAGTTATTGTAATTTCATTTTGCACGCAAAATAAAGGGATCAGCAAGACCTAGTATGTTGTTATATTAACATTGGCATCCAATGATAATATTTCCACGGCGTCAATGAAGCCTCACTGGCTGTACTGCTCTCAGGCACAAGTCCTTCAGGAACACATTATCTTGCCCATTTTGTTGATAAAAAGTGAAGTTATCTGAGAAGTTGATTTTCATTAAGCACACCTTTAGGCACCTTTCCCAAACATACTTTGTTGGCATAAAATGTAACTTCCTGTGGAGTCAAAGCTGCAGACCGGTTATGTTGAAAGATGAGAACCATGCCAGAGTATGACAGACGGCCCGGTCAGAGCTTGTGTTTCCTGGATTCATCGTGGGTAGCTTTCCCTGCCAGGGTCTTATGCAGAGCAAAATGTTGTCTTCGCTCATTTTTACACCACAAAACGTGCTTACCATCTTTAAAAAGCAAGAGCATGGGCCGTCAGTAAGCTCATACACTAAAGTAGAATCAGTAATTGTTTAAAGATTGATCACATAAAGCCAGGACTATGCTGTCCAATATGACAGTCACAATTATATGTTGCTGGTGAATAATAGAATTCAGGTGTAAGATAAGATGAGGTATAAATGTAAAATATACCCAACAGTTTGGAGCTTTATTATGAAGAAAATAAATGTGTATTATCCCAGTAACTTGTCTGTTGATTTTAGGTTGAATTGATAATATTTTCAGTAATAACTAGGTAAAATGAGATATTTGAATCAATTATAGATGGGTATTACTCATCTTAAGATGGCTATTAGAAAATGTAAAATTATATATTAAGTTCACATTTATTTCTTTCTGCTAACTCTGAATGAGAGGGCTGACTTTTTCAATGAAGCTGTGAATTACAAATTTCTGTGGTCTCTCTCCCTCAGCATTTCAATAAATACCTTTCACAGTAGTAGAAAAGCTAAGATGATACTACCCTACCTCAAAGTCCAGCTTTTCAAGTTGTTCATTTCAGGGTTTTTTTTTTGTTACCTTTTTTGTTTTTGTTTTTGTTTTTTTTTGTCCCGACTCATTGTTCTCCCATGTACAATTCTTTCTGGAAATTTTCAAGTTGAAGAGGACTTACCTTGAGTTGAGTATTTCAGACTTAGGATACGTGTGGCCAGTCGAGGGAGGACAGGATGGGATTGTGGGAACAGGCTTAGCGTTCACAGAGGACGGGGGCATTGTCGCTGTGCCATGGGGAGCACTTGGGAGCTGGTCATCTTGCCAGTGTAAAGGTGAATAAAATAGATGACTAAGGAGAGAAGGGAGGGAGAATATTCTAATATATATGAAAAGGTGTGCACGGTCTTAGTTAATGCTCCTACTTTGGGCTATAAAGTTGTAAGGGCATGAAATTGACATACCTTCAATTTAAAATCCATTTACTGATCACTCATTGAGAGACTACTATTCGCTCGGTACTCTTCATGGCAGGGACACAACACTGAGCAAAATAGACAAAATTTGCAACTTTTATGGATTTTTTTATTCTATGGGGGGAAGACTATAAAAAACTTTATGCACACTAGATGTAAGAGAATGGTCTAAAGAAAAATGCAGTTCAGAGATTGTGATTGAAAGTGCAGTTGTGAAGAAAGCTGTCACCAGCAGGGTGACACTGATCAGAAACCCAAAAGAAGGGAGGCCGAGAGCTCTCCGGTTACCTGGGGTCTGGCAGGGATGGACATCTCACTTGGTACTTTCAGCCCGTGTTTGCTCTTCGTGTTGATTCATTTTCCCGGTCACTGTGAATACTTCTTTTCCCTAACAGTATAACGTTTCCAGAGCCAACTGCAACAAGATCATAATGTTGTTCACGGATGGAGGAGAAGAGAGAGCGCAGGAGATATTTACCAAGTACAACAGAGACAAAAAAGTGAGTGCCGCCTGACAGCATCGTCATCTTAGTATCTAGGTGGATTTAAGGAGAGAGCAGATGGTGGTGCTGAGGGCAAAACTTTCTGTTAAAAAGCTCTAGTTCCAAAACATGAAGTCACATAAAAAATATTCTCATGAGATACATAAGCACCCAGTGATTAATATATGGGTAAAATAATTCAGACTTTTAGGATCTATTTGATTCTTGAGTACAGATTCTAAATATAAAAATGTTATGAAAAGAAATCAGAAGAGGATGGAAAAGTAGAGGCAATTCAAGCTTTTCTTGGGTAAGATGCCATTTTGTGTTTAATAAATGTAGTACTACTCACACTTTCTAAATTCGCCACAAGTCTGAAGGCAGATGATCTTGTTTAAAATGTTACTGTGCTAGGAACACTCAACATGTGATCTCCTTTCCTAATATGTTTGAGGTATAGGGGATTATTTTTATAAAAGTAAAATGTTACCCAGCAGACCATTAGTGTTTCTTCATCTTGTGTAACTGCAGCTTTTTCCCTATTAATTTAGTGTCTTTGCAACTTTCCTTCTTCCCAGCCACTAACAAGCATCATTCCACTCTGATTCTCTGAATATGGCTGTTAGACTCCTCTGTGAGTGGAAACATGTAATGTTTTTTAAAAAATAAAATTAAAGCATAACAATTTATACAGCCTTAAAGTTTTATGCACTTTAAAAAATATCTGAAAACTACTCCCAGAATCCAGGTTTTCCCCCAAGCCTGTTGTTTGGCATTCATGTGGCTGCTGAATGGTTTGTTTGCATTCATTTTCATCCACATGAATTGGAAAAATCTTTCTGAGCCGACCAGGAGGCGCTGATTAATGAACCCTCCGCTACACAGCACAATTCAGCGAAGCCGGGAGGCTCCGAGAGTCGGGACAAAGTGTGTAGGTTCTTCTGTGGAATGTGTACTCTGGGGAATTGATCTACCTGATTACAGATAGGTATGGCTGTAAAATTGAGTCCACGGTCGTCTCCCTACAAAGCTGTTCCCAATTACAGCCCCTCTGCTCTCTAATCATTACCTGCTGCCCTGTTCCTGAGGGCTCACTGTGTGTACAAGACCTCCTAAAATGTGTTGCCGAGGCCAAAATGAAGCTTATCGCAGTCCAAACAAATGAGTAAAGCCAGACATGGGGTTGAAAGATAATTCCCAGCAGTAGCGAAGTCAACTGTGTTTGATTCTGTGGAGAATAGCAATGGATTGCTTAGCAGTGCACACTTAAAGATTTCCTCTCTGCTTCATTTTCGGAATTAATAAAAAAGACATTTTACATTAATAAATGAAGACTTCAAAGTACCTAGTAGAATGAGAAGAAAATAGTGTATCGTGGGATAGTAATCAAAGAATATACAGCTAAAGTTAATTTTAATCCACTTAATTTTATGTAATTTAGAGAAAGTTTTTCTTATGTTGCATTCAGATCTCCACTAGAAATACCCTGTAGTCGATAAAAGCTTAAATAAAGTCAAAAGTGATAGAGTATGCATTTGTGTTTTATATAGTTAGGAGGAAATTTGTCAGTTTCTCAACAAATAGTAGTGAAAAAATTTCACAAGAAGGAAGTAACCCATTGTTTTCTCTGCTGTCTTTCTGCCTGGCCTCTCCATCAGGTGTAAATGAAATCCTTTAAAGGAGAGCTCAGACAAATGATAATGGAGGACATTTAATTGACACGGTATATAATACTACTTAGTAATAAACCATTTGTCAAAAATGCGCAGTGCAGATACTTCTGGGTGCACTCGGCATTTTCTAAAAACTTCAGCTTTGCAATGGGAGCTAGTGCTGCACTCCTAAAACGTACACGGTGCTCTTTCTGCTGGGGACTCCTGAGCCGAAGCCCCAGAGTCCTCCTCTCACTCACCCCCACCGGACCTGTTTCCTCTTCATTTCCCTTCTGGATTTCCATGTTTCATTTTAATCACCTGTTGACGTCTTATATTGACCGTCCCTGTCCAGTTTCTGACCCACGATGTGGGCTTAGTGTAAGTTTGCAAGGCTGCTTGTGTGTCCTGAGAAGACAGTTCTGGGCTTGATGCGTGACAGTTTCTCAGTACTAACACACAGTGGTCATCTCATTAAGCTTGCAGCAAGTGTGCTTCTGTGACTAACTGTAAGGAATTCATAAATGCTAGAAAAATCTACACCTTGTTCTTTGTAAACGAGAGGATGGTTAAAAGGGAGATTATTCTTTACAGCGGGACTGTGGAGTACAATTGATACAGAGGTCCCATTCTCCCGTACGCCACCTTAGAAGTAGGAGCAGGGAGGGCTGCAGGGGATACAAAGATCGTCGTGACAGTCCCTTTCCGATCACCCTCATCAGACCAGTGAGCGGTTCCTAAAGAGGATTCTCATTGTCAGTGTCAGGAAAACCTTTGTCATTTCTCAAGAACCTCTGCAGTCATTCTGCGGCTTCAGTCCTGACCCTTCGGCTCACCATCCTCTGGACAGAACCCCAGATTGCTTGGAAATGAATTGGGCCCAAAGCCCAGCCATGGCGAACCTTTAGAGACCGAGTGCCCGTACTGCAACCTCAACCCACTCATTTATTGCAAAAAGGCAACGCTGCAATCAAACCTGAATACTAGGGTTATAGTTTAGAAGAAACAACTGTTACCTGATGCTCAGCTGCTGGGGTGACTTATCTCCTTGCTGATGGAGAGGGCTCTGTGTGCCTGCTGTGGTCATGGGTTCATCATCACTGCCACAGCCTGCTCCTCCTCCATTAAGTATGACCAATGTATACGTAGAAAGAAGGAACCTGAAACTGCCTCCCTATGCCCTGATAATGCAAGGGTAATTTATTATAACCGTGAGCAGAAATCCCTGTTCTTGTCAGTCCCTCGGTAACTCCCAGTAGATAAACTTCTGTAGGGTACCTGACATTTAGAGCATGTTGCCCTCCTAATAGTAGGGTTTGTTGCTAAACAGAGTAAAGGGATCCAAACAAACAAAAATGCCAAGTCACTCCTCTAGAAAGGCCTTATTTGGGGAGCTGAGGGCCAGTGTCCCACTAAGGGAAATGTCACCGCTCTGAATTCTGGTGTTTTGATGTAGGAAGAAAACAGTTTAGCCTTTGTTCTCATCTTCATCATCATAGCTGATTCTTATGAAGCTTTATATTTCCCTGTGATATAAATGTTTTATATCTGTTACTCTGCTCACTGCTGAAAGTCATATCAAAAATATTGACACAGTTATCATTGTCACTGCCCACATTTTGGAAATTTAAAGGCCAGACTTAGGAAAGTTAAATAATCAGTTGAAAATCAACAGCTGCTGCAGAATGCAAATAATCACTAGCTTGAATTTCATAACCCGCTCCAGCTTCCCGGCTGCCATGAGTCTGGGCTTCCTCCCGGACAACATTTCTAATTGTTATTTGTCTCCTGGGAGTCTTCTTCCCAGCAGAAAGTGGGGCTTTGCTCCTCCTGGGCTTGCAGGGGTCCCTTGCCCACAGCTTCTGCAGGCCAAGTTGGGTCAGTGGGACTTAGGGGCTGCATGCACCTTTCAGATCCCGGGGCTGCAGGAAATAAATTAAGTGGGGAAGTTGGCTGCGAATCTTTTATTTATTGAACGATGCTAAAAAACTAGAAGCCTAAGCTATTCAAACACTTTGAGTTTCTGTCTGTTTGTGAAGTATGGAAACCACTGTGGGATTTTCTCCTGAAATATTCAGCTCCGTCTCGTATTTTGATAGGCTTGATACCAAAATTTTCGGTACACAGAGTACATTAGTAAGATCCCATCTCTGATGTCATTTTTCCAGCATGTTTCAATAGCTGAAGTTTTTATTTTAGTTTTATTGGCTTCCTTGCTTTACAGACTCACTTCCATTATTCTTTGGAGACTTGCCTATTGTAAATTAAACTTGAACTCTAGATAGCTGATAATTGTGAAGTGACAGTTTCCAGTAACTGAGTTCGGCTAGGAAACAGATTCCTATGGCCTTTCAAAAGGTTGACCCTCTGGCTTTGGACAACTCTTAATTGAAGAAAAGTATTTTAGTCTTCAATAAACAAGATAAGAGACAGATTAGCAAACTTCAGAACCATAGGATAAAGTTAGAAAGCAGTGATATAGGAGGAACAAATCGGTAATGCACTTCAAATATTCAAGTTTGGTATTAATTAAAAGTTTTCTCGAGGGCTGGAGATTTAGCTCAGTGGTTCCACCACCTGCCTCATAAGCGCAAGGACCCGAGTTCCATCCCTAGTACAAAAAAAAAAAAAAAAAAAAA